GACGCTGAGGGAGGCCCGGAAAGAAAGAACTAGAAACCGGGCTTTCTCGGCGGTGGCTCCTCGTCTCTGGAATAACCTACCTCCGGAGATTCGCGCTGCACCCTCGCTGGGTACTTTTAAGAACCAACTAAAAACATGGATGTATAGGCAGGCCTTCCCTTCCAGTTAATTCCTGTCCTCTTTCCTTTTTTTTCTCTTTATTTGATTTATTTTTATTTTTCCCATCTTATAGAATCATTTAATTAATTAATTGTTATAAATTTTTTAGAACTTGTTATCCTTATGTTGTAAGCCGCCTAGAGTGGTCGAAATGACTAGATATGCGGGGTATAAATACAATAAATAAATACAATAAATAAATAAATAAATGTATATTTTTAAAACATGGATTTTTTATATCATACACTGCATATTGTAAAGGCCTATAGCCATAAACAATAAAATTTTGACTGACTGTACATTACAACTGATAGTACATATGTACATTACAACTGATAGTACCACAGTATGAATGATCTTCGCCTTGGTCTTCAGCAACACATTCTTATTCCTAAGGAGTTTTCCTAGTTCCTTCATAGATGACCTTCCAAATCTTATGGTTTCTTGGCTGCAATCTCCAAGAAATTAGTGTCCAGGGAGAACGGGATTGATGATTGAATAAAGCTACAGAATGTAACTTTAACTATTTTAATTTCTTCATTGTTGCCTTTAAAGCTATGTAACTCTTCTGCAATAATGATTTTGTATTCTCAGTGTTCTACTGTAATCCTGCTTTTCTACTTTCTTCTATTTCCACTGGTAGTAATTTCATTACATTACTGTTTTCTGCCAATAATATAGTACTATCTGTATACCTTAACTTTTATAAGTTTCTTCCACCAACTTTCACCCTTCCTTCATCTGAATCCAGTCAAGCTTTTTGTATTATTTGTTCTGTAGACAACTGAGCAAATAAGGAAATACTGTAAAAGACATCACTGCCTGATGCTTTTGCTACCACTCTGTTTTGTCCTATTCTGTTTTAACAGTAACCTCTTGTACAGAATACAGATTATGGATCACAAAAAGTAAACTTTCATTTCTTTCCAAGTTATCCATAGCTTTTCACAACACACACAACTAAAAGCTTTACTGTCATCTATTAAAGCACAAACTTATGTTCTTCTGAAATTCCTTGACAAGCTACAGTATTCAACATGTATCTGCAATATGATCTCTAGTAACTATTCCTTTTCTGAATCCATCTGAAATATGTAGGGTTTTTTATTCCATATACAGCATGGGTCTGTGATGTAAAATCTTGAGGATCACTTTGCTTGAACAGGAAATTAATGTATTCATCCTATAGTTTCTGCAGTATTCGGCATCTGCTTTCTTTGGAATTAGAATAATATTTTCAGTGAGTGGGCCATTTCCCCCCCATATTTGTTAAAATATGTTTGTAAGTACTTTGACAGATTCAACCTCTGTAACTTGAAGAAACTCTATTGCTATTCCACTAACCTGGTGATTTATTTCTTCTAATTGCTTTCAGACTAGCTGGGGATTTCAGATTGCTTGTTCTACATCAAAGGATTCTGCTTCAAAGGAACCTGTCATTCTTGCATCTCTTTAGTTTATCATGGTCAGATAATATATTGGCTTGTTGATTTTTCGGCACTGCTAATCTAGATTAAAATTTTCATTTGATTTCTTCTACCTTCCTTTTTCTCTTGTTATTTTGTCATTGTTGTTCTGCTCTGTTTCTTTGCAATGATTACAATAGTTCTCTTTGTCTCTTCATTCAAGTTGCTAGCAATTTGCTTTCAGAATTCAGACAATTTTCTGTCACCTTTTACTTTTGCTTCTTCTCTATAAGATTTTAAAGAAATTCATCAGTCATCTATCAAGGCTTTAATTTCCTTTTGACTATAAGAGTAGTCTCTTTGCATTATTTGTGGATAATATATCTAGTTTCAATCCATAGTTGTTCTTGCTCACATTTGGGAAGTGCAAAGGAATAAATGAACCTACCTAATGCTGTCCCCTTTTACTCAGATAAATTCTGATCACATTTTAAGACTACACAAGTTTCAAGCATCACATCTATTTTTGGTATTTTCTGATAATTCAGTGAGGGAGGCTGTTTAGTGCTTGTTTTAATAATTTTATCCTAAATGTTTTGTAAGGGATTCACACAAACAACAAGAGAAAACAGCTGAGCAGAGAAAAACAAACTGGCTGACTCTGTGCAAACGATTTTATCTAAAGCACAGACCATCATTGTTCATTTAGCTAAGCTAATTTTCAGTATACGTATAGACATGTATTTGAATGATGACATTTAGAAAGTTTAATTACCCATACTACAACAAAATTCCACTATATTTTCTAATGTGAATTAATGTTAAAGCACAACATTTAAAAGTATGAATCAGCAGAACCTTCATATATTTTATAGTGCTTGTATTGTTACCGTTCCCATTAGATCAAGCACAGTTCACAGTATTTTCAGTTCACAGAATGTACCAATCTAAATTGTTAGGTCAAATTGATACAGCAGGTGGTGTTTCTTTTAGAAATTTCTTTTGAAATAATAGGCAATTCAATTTTTATATGAACACTTATTTCAATTATGAAAATATATGTACAGTATAAGACAATAATAGCTTTCTGCATCAACCGAAATGTTTCATACACTGGTCAGCTGGATACCTCTACAAGTTCCTAAACAAAGCATTATGGTAACAGCCAACCCCTGTCATGTGGTCCCTAATGCCTAATACTCTGACTGCCTTTGTGAAGAAAATTCAATTTAACATCTGCCAAAGCAATTGTTCAAAAGTTGATCTGATTCTCTTTAAAAACCACTGTTGTCAAGATATCTGAATGAGATATTCTCAACAAATGTTTTTTTCTGGAGAACCTCTATAAAAATCAACCATTTCCCCCCACAATAGTGATTTTCCAACTGATCTTTAAGATCTTAATGCTAATCAACATATTTTGAAACACATGTGTAAACATATTTTGAAACACATGTGTAAACACCCTAAGTAAAGACACTGACAGACATGAACTCATGGAGGAGTTGACAAGCAGCTGTCCAGCACTATGATACTCCATGTAGTAACTAACAAAAATGTATCTTCCAAGTTCTGTTCCTAATGAGTGTTACACAAATCAGTAAACATGAGTGAAACCAACACAATGTTCTTTATATACGCAAGCAGTTTTCCCCCATTCATTAATAAAAACAGATTTAATAGCAAAAACAGAATTATTTTTAGAATGAATTTTTTGTCCTGTAGGATATTAATATACTAGTAGAGTAAGAGAAATCCGCAGTACAGGTGTGGACTAGACTTTGCAAATGATACCAACTCATGTAACAGCATAAAAAACAATACACTGGTGATATATGTAATGAAAAGCAGCACATACAAGCATGCAGCCAATCATTTACTGCCAACCTTAAGACACAAGTCACAGTCCTTACCTGTATGAGTTCGAATATGTTGCACATAGTTATTCTTCCGGTCTGAGAAATAGGAGCACTGTGAACATGTGTACACTTTCCGTGGAAAATGGTTTCTCAGGTGCTTCTTCCAATGGTACTCACTTACTGTTGTGTATGTGCAGATGGTGCATTTGTAGACTCTCTCATTTTCTCCCGCTTTATTATGGTGTTTCAAGTGAGCAAGATAGTGATCGTACCTGTTAGTGTTGTAGCCACAACGATCACATCTAATGGGCCCCTTGGAGAAATCAACCTCATCTGTAGTGTTTGAGTCAGTTTCTTTAACTTGTCCATGCTTCTCAGCTTTTTCTTCTACAATGAATCTCTTGGCACTGTGTACCCGAATATGATGGACAAACTCCTGCTCCGATTCTGCCTCATACTGACATGGCTTACAACGAAACGGCTTGTTCTTCAAGCTTTTACCTTTGTCATCCACACCCTCTGGAGCTCCTGGCACTTCTATCGAGAAACCCTTGTCTTGATTAAAAGCATGAGAACTCAAAGACTCTGTCAATCCTGCAGTCTCACCATTATCAACTTCAGAAGATCCAAGGACTCTCAGATCTATATCTTCCAGGCCTTCATGGTCATTCTCCACAACTTGTGTATCATCTACTCCTTCTCCATCACTGTCTGAAAAGTTGGTGTTGCCCACAGTTGTCAGTTCAGCCATTTGCCTATCTTCACCAACCATGTAATCACAACAGTTGCCATTAACTTCTCCTGTTAGAGCCACATTTGCCAACATAATAAGCTGAGGAGCTGCCAGCTCAGCTTTGGAAAGTTCAGGAAAGTCATACATGTCGTTTGACAAGGCCATGCTCAGATTAGTATTGCCAGGAAACAGGCTGCTGCCACCAGTCTGTCCCAGGACTTGCATTGCCATACTAACAGTTCTGTTAAAGAAAAGGAACACAAGTTTGTTTAGAAGTTGCACTCCTGCGAAAAAGCCATTCTATAATCAACAAAACCAGGAATACATCATAGAACAATGGCATTATGTTTTAAGACAGACCGACTGCATTTCTGCATGGGGCTATGCCTAGATTTGTTTCAACTGTTGTTTACTGAAAGCATGCCATGGGTGATTTTACAAATAAGCACCATAATCATGGCCAATTCTTGATTTGTTCTCTGTCCACCCATTCTGCCATTATTCAAACTATGTTCTAAAAAAACAAGCAGCAATATAGGACTGCTCTACCTATATGTTTATTGGTGTATTGATGTTCTGTTTATTGTAGGGTGTCTTTCTCTCAGTGGGAATGCTGCGCAAGGAGATGGCAGCGTTTCATGGGAGTTGGTTTTGGTGTGTTTCTAAAGAGCATAAATATGGTTAATCATCTGAAGAACAGATAGCTTCCAGGAAGAAAAGGAAAAATGGGAAAAAATAGAATACTTGAGAAGCAGAAGTTTGCAGCTGTTTTTTTCCTCATTTCTGTGCAGTGTCAAAGAGGACTGGGTAGGCAAAGAAACTAATCACAAATATGGCAGGATCCTGGGCTTAAACATAATGCCAAACAAGTTAATGTAAGTCAGGGTTGGTAATCCAACTTCAAACCATGATTTTACAAAGGACTTTGCTGCTAAAAATTAAACTACAATAAGCCTGCAATGGATGTTCAAATAAATACAATTAAGCTAAACAAATCAAGGCTTAGCATTATGTTTCAACCAGGGCGTTCTGATCAACTATATAGCCAGGCCTTTAAATCACACCCTTCAGCTGTCTGAAAACTTACTGCGACCCTCCCACCCATTTAAGTACATCATTGTGAGCAAGCATGCACTCCTGTAGTACAGTCATAACCTTATTTTATGAAATATGGATTTGTTTGAACAAGCAATTGCAAGATTTAATTTCTGGAATAAAAACCCAGGAAAATTATTTAATATTTTTTAAAATATACCTTACTAGTATTTTATATTTGCAAATATTTTTATTACAATTGTTTATATGTCACTTGGAATTCGCCTTCTTTTCATAAAAATAAACTGAGGGAGGGAACCATTCTGCAAACCTTAAAGTAGACAGCTAATGTAAGGCTTTGTTGTGTGAGTTTTCAATCACTTCACAGACAACAAATAAATCAGGTTTTAATTTTGCGTTTTCTAGGGCAAGGAAAGAAATCTAAAGGGAGGGAATCTACAAGAACACAAGTTTATTAAGTCAACACAAAGGTTGGCCACTCTGCCTTATCTTCTATGTACACGACACTGCTGCTCCTCTGCTTAAGAATAACACAAATTTCAGCACCAAGTACTGAGAAGGTGCAACTAAGACTAACCATTCTTCTGCATATCACTGCCTTCTAAGCCATAGCACCAATCATTTGCTAAGCTGTAATGTGCATGTTCCACCACAGAAAAGTCCTCAGCAAAGAGCTAGGTCCTATACAGAAGGGTTTCTTACTACAACAAGCAGAAATAAGTTTTGGAGAAATGAACAGAAAAAGCAAGAGTCATGACTAGTTAAGGGTCACAATGCAGGACTTAAATATTCAGGTGTGGGTACAAATGGAAAACTAACAAGGGATGCCCCAGTGAATATATGCTGCCAGTATGAAGACAGTACCTCTATGTATTATCTACTTGTACATACATTTAATGGAAATAAGCCTCCAATCCCAACAAGACAATGAACTTCAAATCAGAAATAAACAAATTCAGACTCTAGTCCTGGCATCACAATTATTAATGCAAATTAAAGCTGCCATTTCATGGGCATGCACTTATTTCTTTGAAAAGAACCTTGTACCACTAGCTATTCATAGCAAAGCTGATTAAAGTGCACCAAAAGCTACCTAGTAACTCTGTGTTAAACCAAGTTGAACATATATCCATGAGAGCTGAAATCAAGAGCGAGAATTTTTGTCATTCTCTATAGAGTAATGCAAGTATCAGAACCAAGGGTCCACATAAAAACACAGCACAATGCCACCAACAGGATCAGCCAGACTCCTTTAGGAAACTCACAACCAGTGCCTGAAGGGAACAGCTGAGTCTGACCTACATTTGAACAGCTACTGCATAATGGCTATGTGTAGTGAGCTATCCACAACATTTTAGGACAGGACTAGCCCTTATTTCCTGTTACTTAAAAGTGTAACTACTACAAAAACCTTTCCAGAAGACAGATTTCCTAAAAATGTGTGCCCATGGAAAAGTAACACCTATTCTGTGTAACTGCATTAATCTTGCACAATCAAAATTAAGCACACTAAAGATCATTAAGCCATGATACCACACAAACAGGTATACAGTACTTTAATTCAAAGTATGTTCATCCAAACCAAATGCACCCCCACCATGCAGAGATTTGCAGAAAAACTGGGTGATTATCCATGAGACACACTATTGTGTGGTGACAAGGGATTTATTTTAAAATCTTTCTTAAAATCTCATAAGTTTATCTGTAAAGCAACAGAAAAAGAATCTAAAGAAATGCACACATTCTGTTGGGAAGAGTGAATTGGAAATGCGCAAACTAGCTACCAGGGAGAGGAGTCCTACAACCCTGGTCTCCTTCAGGCCTAAAGGCAAGCAGGCTCTATGATTCCCATACAAAACAGAGCTCACTATAAAACAAAAATAGATCTTCAATTCCAGACATCTTCAAATATCAGAGAAAGTGTGTGGGGGTTTTTTTTAAGTCAAGGCAACAACAAACTTTGGAGCTGTTTATCTGGAAGCATGTTTATCTGGAAGTTAAATATAACCAAACATTTTACTCCCAAGTAAATATGCATCGGAATTTCAAGTTTAAGACCACAGATATTGGCTAGAAAGTTCACAATTTAAAAAGAAAGAAAGAAAGAAACCTTGCTAAATTAACGTGTGCCATGAGCTCAACCACTATCGGCTGCTGCTGTTGCTGCATTCCAGAAATAGGCATTCGGCCATTTTCTCAAATACCAAGTAGAAGCACAAAGCAGCTCTTTGCAAAACTCTTGCCTGCAGCACAAACACAAACTCACCGAAGTCGATGTTTTCTCCTGCTCAAGGTCCCCACTCGGCTTTTTTATTGTTCTTCCACCCCACTCCCCGAAGTTATCGGGGCCCCCCCGCAAACTTTTCCTGATGGAGCTCTCCCAAAAAAAAAGCGAGGACGAAGAATTCCCTAACTTTCTTTTCCCCCAGACAACCCCCTCTCCTCCTCCGCCCCCCCCCACAAAAAAAGCGGCAGGGAGGTCGGCGCGAGACTTTTCCTCTCCCTTTTTTCCCCCCTCCTGGGACCAACTCCCAAAAGCCTAGAAAGGAGGAGGAGGCGGGGAAGGGAGTTGAGGAGAGGAAGAAGAGAAAGAGAGAGAGAGAGAGAGGAGGGGTGGGAGTAGAGAAAGAGCGAGCGAGCGAGGGAGCGACTGAGAGGCAGGCAGTGCCCTCCGCGCCGGCGGCTGGGGTGGATCCGGCGGCTGTCCGCTCGCTGCCTGTGCGCTGGCTGGCGGGGCGCCTCCAAATGGGGGAGCCTTGAAGTCTCCGTTTTCCCCCTTCCAAGGAAAACTGGGCGGCGGAGAGGACGAGTCCAGGCCCCACTCTCCACCCCGACCGACTTGCAAGGCGGCGGCAGGGGGAGGGGGTTTGCTGTGGGGAGCCGCCGCCGAAACCTCGCTTCGCCTCAGCCCCGTCTCTATAACCCACACACTCGCCACCCGGAAAAAAACCAAGGCCAACCTCCCTCTCCGCCCCCACGCAACCCCCGCCAAAATAGATACATACACACCCACCCACCCCCATCAACTCCCCACCAAACTCACGGCGACGGGGCCCCCAAAAGCGGGGAGGGCAAGAAATCGCTGTCCAGCTCCAACCCGGGCGGGCGGGCCGGCTAAGCGAAGCGAGCGAGCTGGCGGCCTCCTCCTCCTCCTCCTCAGCAACTCTCAGCCCCGGAGTCGGCGAGGAAGGCGGGCGGCTCCTCCCGACGAAACTTCCTGCCTCCCACAGGGAACTAACGGCCCGTCGGTGGAAGAGGAGGCGGCGGCAGGGGTGGGGGGGACGGATGGCG